TCGTCAAGATTAACCAGGCTTTTGCTCAGTTGGTTCAAGCCTGGTTAAACCCTGGTTAATCAGCGGGTCTAAACTACAGGTCACTTTTCCACAGGTCGAAGTGCAGGTCACCATGATGAAGATAAATAAACAGCATCAAAACTGTCTCCTAGCCCTAACCTCTTAACAAAATGCTCTGTTAGATTGAGGGGAATCAGCTGAGTGGTTTGGTAATTTATCGGTGGAGCAGTGACCTCTACTCTCGACCTGAGGAATTGTGAGAAAGACCCTGGTATACCAGGGTAACCTGGTTCATTGACTTATTTTAAGCACCTGGTAATGCCTGGTTTACCAGGCTTGCCAAGCTAACCAGGAATACCCTGGTTAACCAGGCTTTTTGCAAATATGTTTCAAGCCTGGTAAGCCTGGTTCATTCAGAATTTCAAGAATTTGGTTAAATTCTGGTTTTCCTGGTTTGAATAATAACCAGGCTTTTTGTACATATGGTTCGAGCCTGGTAAGACTGGTTCATTTAAAACTTTAAGAGCCTAGTTAAAGCCTGGTTTTCCTGGTTCTTAGAATAACCAGGCTTACCAGGAATACCCTGCTAAAGTCTGGTAAGCCTGGTATGACGACCAGAAAAGTATAATTCAGGTTTAACCAGGTTTGCACCCTGGTAAACCGTGGTTAGCCAAGCTGTTGGTGCACGGGTCACTCCAGAGATACTGCTGACTGCTGTAAAACGCCATTCGTCACTTTAGAAACGAGAGGGGAACTTAGAGTCGAAATGGGTCCAGCAATTGTCTCCTGTGATCATTACTAGAGAGTCTTAATGGGGTGGTACGTAGCTTTGACAATTGACGGTTTAGTTTGTCCAATTTGACGGTTGACGGTTAAATTTTATAGCTTTCGACGGTTGACTGTGATCAAAAGGAAATTTGGTCTAAGAGTTAATATTAACTTTTGGAGATTTTCCTGCCCTTTCACTTAAAAAAAATCGAAAAAAATCGAAAGATTTCCAGATACAAGCAAGTTGTAAGGTTTTGTACTGTCCAGATTTAGAGAGGATATTTTTGAAACATGGTTTTTTAAGTTTAGGGCTTCTTTAGGGGCCAGAAGTCCGTGAAGATCAGCTAACATAGTGAGATTTGAAATACCTTGAAAATTGTAACGGTTAATATCAATCTGCATTTTTGACGCTTGACGGTTGACGGTAAAAATTTACCTTTTTCAACGGTTGAAGGTTAACCCCATTGAGACCCCTCTTAACGGGGACGCGCCGGTCAGCTATTGGCCGATGTTTTCCCCTATCCCTAGTAACAGCCCCAGAAGTCTTTGTGAAAGTTAACACTGCCCAGTTTCCACTGAAACTCTCCCCGTCGCATGCAGGAAACGAATTGGGTTAATCTGATAAGACGTTCTGTTTTACAGATTCCAGCTGGAGCGAGGATGTTTAATTCCGAATGCCACACCTACAGGTAACCGTGAGAGCGTTTGCAACTATGTTCCTCCCCCATTCCAAACTTCAGTTTCCCCCTTTACCGCGAAACATCATGTATAAGTACTCTCATCTCGATCCCTTTGGATAAATTCTTCGCTACCAATTAAGCCTCTGCCCAAGGGTACGTTTAAGGTTCGATAAGTTTGTGAAATAAAAGGCAAAGCAGGGATTTTCATTGGGCCTGCACCGAATCTACGATTGGCGACTAAATTGTTTGTCCTCAGATGGGGTAGCTCCGGAGAATAAAACAATCCACACCCCTTCCCTTTCCCCTCCATTCAAAGTGTTTGTTGTTTTCTATAGCTAGCTAGAACATCGGCGGGGGTGGAAGAGGAAAAGCTTCATTTCCCCCCTTTTAAGGTGGTAAAATGTTTAACAGAGGCCCTTTCACGCAAACTCCCTCAATTAATTTGTGGCCGATTTTGGATCTGTTCAACCTTTGAATTTTGTTAGTTTGCACTAGAAAACTGGCGCTAAAAATTCATTGGTAGAGTTTGACGTTAGCTGCCATGTCCGAAGGTGAAATTATGAAAGTTGAACCAGGCTGGTCTTAAAAAGCACACACACTTTCGTCGCTCATTTTTGTCGGCATCAGTGTCTTGTTAATTATGTCTACAAAAATGTCTACAAGTCTTCCATGTTAAAAGCACGAACAGCAGTGTTTTACCAGGGTTAAAAATTCGAATGCAAAGGGTGACAATTTTCTGTGAGTGTTTTGAACAGATTTAGAAACATCAACGGAATGTTTCGATGTCATCCTTTTTTAAGACGTGTTAGTTGTAAATTGTCAAACAAAAACAGCCAAAATAGCAAGGGTTGAAAAGCATAGCTGCGCAAATTTCATTTTGTGCAGCTGTGCAGTTTTTTAAAGCGATAATAAAATTACTATTTCCAACGGTCAAAAAAGGCGTCTTTACGAATCCACATATTTTTGAAACCTCATAATTCGTTTTTTAAACAATGTTACATTTGGCAATGGAAAAGCAATTTGGGTGTTTCTTGGTGTTGCGGAAACTATTTTTTACGCTTTTGATTTTTGCTGTGACAGTTGTTGTCTTTTCAATATTTGCATTGCGTCATTGGCGATAATGCACCCGTCCGCAAACCTAAAAGACTACCCATAATTTTTCTATTAAGCAGGTCCTGTGGCTGGCACCTGCAAAGGGCCTATTATGGGTTCAATTTTATTCTTTACTTTATAGCTGCCCTCGGATCATAACGTCTCACGTCTACCCATACCAGTGGGAGTCAAACTGCAGGGGGATACGGAATGGTTATTTCATAGTTCGTCAGTCTTGCTACAGAGGTAACAAGTATAACGGTTTTAGCAACCATTTGAAATGTTTTGAAAATCAGTTGAATAGGAAATGAACCAATTCATGCCAGGAGGGCTCCTAATTTCCTTATTTGAAAGGGTAATCTAGAAACATCATCTCGTATTGATGCTAGGAACTTCGATCAAAGATATTTTCGTAGGGGTGCATTACACGTTGCTTAATAAACGACTTAGGCTAAGAAAACAACAATTAAGACATGAGACGTCAGTGGGTTATTTCCAAATAACTATGCTTCCAGTCTCTTTTCACAGCTTTGTCTCTAGTCCTTTTTATCAACCTTCAATCGCATTTGGCCTTGCATTGCTTGATACAGACTTAGAAGAAGGCTATTCTATTACTTCGGATAGGATGGTGTAATAATTTTCAACTTGAACTGGCGTCATTTGCAAGTAATTTTTGATCATGCACTATCGGACATTTTCTTTTCTCCCAGTTAAATACTGCACGATGCAAAGTTTGAGTCTAAGCCCTTTTGTGTTTTTCTTCGAATATCCCATAAATAGTACACTCTGTTTTATTATAGGGCAATATTTCGGCTAACAATATTAGCCTTCCTCAGGGCCAGAGCTATACCGAGAGAAAATGTCTTTTAAGGGCTCTTAAAATTTGAATTTAAAATTTACATAAGTGGTTAATAATCAAGTACAATTACAAATACTAGATAGAATAATATACAGGTAAATGATTATGCAATAAAAATAGAAATAGAAACAGTTCAATGTTCATTCCTTCGGTTATATTGGCCTACAATAAATCAGCCCTTTGCTGTAGTGCCAGCCCTGAATTCAGTTTTGTTTTATTTTACATTTTAAGTGATGTCTGGCTATAGCATCTCTTTAATTAGACATCCGGCAAGAGGAACCAGTCAGTTATATTTACGTGTTGTGTGGACCTCTGCATTCAAACACTTTTTCCTTTTTTACACTCTATTTGTCCCCTTTCGCATAATTCCAAATGCTCTTGGGAACAAAATGCGGTCCTCACAGGGCCATTTCATCAAAATGGTTTAATGCAAAATTTTAGGGGCAAACATAGTGCATTGTGAGGAACTGGAAAACAGACAATTAGCATTTTTATTGAATCTTTCTAAAGAGCGTTTTCACTCTCGTGACCAGCATATATGCAAATGTATTGGACCAAAAGAAAGCGTTTACATAAGAAAAGAATTCAACCCTCTCAGGATTGGTTTGGGACACCAACATGGCCGCCGTTTTATTGTTTTGGAACACCAATATGGCCGCCGTGACGTCATGTGAAAACGCTTTATAATTACTAAAAAGTTTTTTCAATTAAAATTTGTCGCCATTTTGTTTCTGAAAGTGTTCATTAAGAGGGGATTACCTAAAGACCTGTATAACAGAGGTCATTAAAAACTGAATCATTGGATAATGCAATTCTAGAGCTCTACTCAAAATTAAAAACGAGCTGAAAATCGATTGTTTTTACGAATAAAGTCGGGAAGAATTCTCGATATTTTGTGGCTATTTTAATAAAAAAATTATTCCACTCGCTCCTGTTGGATAATTGAGATGATTGTATCCAACTTGGCGCTACGCGCCTGTTTGGCTTAATCTACCATCTCATATCCAACGCGCACTCTTGGAATAATATCCGCTTTACCATTTCCTCTCTCATATCGAGGGCATTTTTATCTTCTTCCTTTTCTACTTATATGATTGTTTTTCCACTCAGTTTTTGACATGCATGACAATGGTGAATGTGGAGAAACTTGGTCTTCATCGAGTTACAGTAAGTTTGTTAATTCTTCCTCTTGTTAAAAAAATAACAGCTATTCATAGGCAAAGGTAACTACAGTGAAACCCGCTCTATTAAGCGGACCCCCAATTAAGCGGACTCCAAGCCGTGTCCCGAAATTAACGTCTTACATTTCCCTCTATAACGAACCCCTATTCAGCGGACACCTCTATTAAGCGGACGCGGAGACTAAAATAAATTGTATTTTGCTAATTTCTATTGTTAAAAACCTCTATTAAGCGGACATTGGACTGAATTGACAATGGTAGTATTGGATTATGTCCTTGAAATACGTATTGTAGTCGATTATTAAAGATAAATCAATACATTTAGCTGTCAAAAAAACCCTCTAAATTAGACCGATATCCGGCCGTATGATTGTCATCCATGATCAAGGTTCACCTTAAAGTCTTGCAAAGAGTACAGCACAGCTTCCTAAGCTTCCTTAACAACATGGGACTTTAACACAAAGTAACCGTAGAATGTTAATGGTTAACGAACATTGGGCAATTTTTACAACCTCTATTAAGCGGACACCCTCTATTAAGCAAACACTTGGGTAGGTCCCGAAGGTGTCCGCTTAATAGAGGTTTTACTGTAGCCTATTAATAGGCAAGCTCCGTATTCCCGGGCGGCCTAGGGCGAGTGCTTGTTTTCGCGCGAAAGCGAGGCTTTTGCGGGTCACTTCTTGGCAAGAAGACAAACAAACGTGAGAAAACTGCTGCTTAGTTACCAAAAAATGGCGAAAATCTTAAAGGTTTTATGTTTCGGTGGGTTCCAAACTTACTTATAGGCTTAAGAAATCATTGTTACGAACAGCAAAAGGAAGATCAGCTCTTCTTCAGTGATCGCTATAACTTCTTTAAGTAAGCCTTTCATTGAAATGTGGCAGTAGAGCTGCACCATTCTAACCCTCTTATTTCACTGGTCCCCTTTAGCCTGCACCTCCATTGTTTTCAGGGATAGGGGCATTGTTCTGTGACAATCCCTATTGTCCCTTTATGGACGAAAAAATCATGTGCCTTTGAAATAAACCGAACAAGCACGTTCGTTGGAAAAAATTCTATCACGACGGGGCTGAAGTTCTGCGTACATTCCTGGCACTGTAAGGAAGTTAAATCGAAGTGAAAAAAGGTGATTTGAAAGGTGTAAGTTTACTTATTCATTTAGCTTACATCGTTTATAAAAACATTCATTCACGTGTAGAAAAATGATCCACGTATATATGCACATTTCACTCGATTAGAAGTTGAATACATAGAGGATATTACATGGCCGCGCGGAGATACGAAATTTCTCTTCGAGTGTTGAAAAGATATTTCACTAGTGAGCGCAGCGAACGAGTGAAATATTTTTCAATACGAGAAGAGAAATTTCGTATCTCCAAGCGGCCATGTAATATTCTATTTTTAAGATTTATTATGTACATGAGATGATAATACTAATCCATTTTACGTATATATGCACGAGTAAAACAGAATAATAAGAAGGTTGAAAATAAAAGGGGTTCGAATATTGACATTTAAACATAAACTTAATTTACCATTTTGAAGCTGAAGTTTACTTCTTCTTTTTGCTTCAGTAGTAGCTTGTTTCATGTTTCTGTTAGTTCGACCAGCTCTTTCCACAGATTTGCTGTTTGAAACAGATATCGCTTTAGCTTACTGGTACAGTTTGGGCTTTGAAATCGTATTATTTCCATGACTTGTATCGTTTTCCAGCGACTCAGCCGCAATTTGCCTACGTTGGTTTTTGTTTTTGCCAAGAAGTTGACTCGCATTAGCCTCGCAATCATGCTCGTTCCAGGTCCGTCGGGGAATACGAAACTTGCCTATTTAGGACACAGACACGTATGGAAAACGATCGACTCATTATAATCGAAATTAAGAACGAGAGTATTTTTCGCGAAGGCTTGAAAAAGAAGTTGGTTACAGCTGATTTTTCTCTTCCCCTCTCTTGTTCAGTGTCATTTGGGTACTAATGCCAAATTGTGTTGAAACAAAACATTTTGCTGTTTTTCATACTGTCCTTTTGGTTGCTAACAGTAGACAAAACTGGCATTTTACCCGAATGTGATTAGAATGGACGCCTTAAAACCATAACAAACGTTCGGTTTCCTGAATTTTGCCCTTAAAACTTTTTTTCCGGTGACACACATCTCACGGCTTTTTGGTACAAGTATTCAGTAGCTCAAAGAATATAGTTAAATGTTCAATGAAAGTTAAATGATAGTTATTTGAAAAAACAACGATGATGGCGAGCACAACAAAACTAAATAATAAACGGTATTACAATTATTGCGTTCTATCTTTCAGAGTCAAAGCGAGTGCTCTACGGATACCCTTGTCATAGTCTTGGAATATACCGGAACAAGGCAGGACTCTTATTTGTTAAATAAAAGAAACTCACCCGGCCACCACATAAGAATGTTTAATTATCCTGCGAGCGGGCTCATTTGGGCGATCTGGGGGAAACTTTCCATTTTCATGATCGCCCTATACTCTTCATGTTGTTAAAAAAAGTAATAAAAGCTATTAATAGGCAACGGTAACTAGCTTATTAATTAAGGACACAGACACGTATGAAAAATGATCGAAATTAAGAACAAGAGTATGATTCGAAAATTTAGAAGTTTGGAAGCTCCACCGCCAACATTTTCTCGAAATGCGCTCAAGTAAGCCCATTATGCTCGCAGGTAAATTTTTAATTGGCTTGGCTCGCATCAATGGCTTTTAACTCTTTATTATACTGTACAAGCGTCTTATGTTCTGTTGACTATCAATAATAATAATAATAATTAGGTCTGACATCAGCCTTCTGTCTTAGGGTTTTCTCAACCTCGTTCCCAGAGTTCTCTCCTACCCGCCCTACGGAGCGAGAGAAGGGCAAGTAGGAGAGAACCCTGGGTACGAGGTTAGGGTTTTCTGTATTTTAGCTAGAAGTTTATGCTCTGGAACAAAGGTCAATTTCTCCCTTAAACGATTATTCACGATTGTAACGTGTACTTCAACATTGGCATTACCATGGTAACTGAATTTTGAAAGCAATGCTCATCAGACTTTGCATTTTTTTTTTCTACAAAACGGTTTATTTCTATTTTACCAATTGAATTATTATATTAAATTGAATTTAGCATAATTCTATCATAACTGTCACTGGAATCCAGTGACTATTGTAAATACAATTTTCAACAAAGTTCATTTTTCTCGGAATTATATAACTTGCAGATTTTTCTGCTTCCTTAGCATCCTTTTTTACACAGATTTTTATCATGAGTACCTCGATTTCTACAGGTTTTAAGTAGAATGGAATCCATGTAATTGATTCAGAATGGCAGATTCAAGATGGTGGAATTTTTTCGGTTCCAATTCCATTCTTTATTAATCAATGACGTTATTATGGCATCACTGTTATTGTTAAAGACTATTAATGTGTCAGCCAACTTTATTATTCTTTTCAGACACCTTGCTATTTTGGTATTTGTCGCTTTATGGCTGCTTTAGGGGGAAAAATTGATAAAAATTTGGGTTGTGCTAATACATCATATTCAACAATATGACGTCAAATTACTTAATTATTTCAATCAACTTAAACCTAGATGTTGGCAAGTACATTACTATGAGAAATTGCGGTTGCCGTATCAGGAATGGTTTTAAAGTTATAGAGGGGGGCCCGGAGCCCCACCCTAATCCCATCAGTGGCGTTGTCTCAATAGGGTAATTAACTGCTGGCAGTTTTGGGATCCGAATAAGCCTTCATACCTCATAATAATCCTTCAAAATTTATTTCGTTACTACGTAGCGATTTCTTTAACAAACCCCTGCAAACACCATTAACACATTTTTTTACAACTTGCCAAGACATGCATTGCGTTCTGCTTGTAGTTTCCAGGAGGAAACAGCCGATCACTTGCAAAATAACTTGTTTTATTAAGTCGTTTGTAGTAGCTTATCGCTTTATTGTCTAGCTCGCAACGAATTCATTGCAGTTGTTTTAAGCGATTTGTAGGAGACATGCAGCAACTTCACTGGCACGTGATATTTAACATCACGTGACACTTAAGGTGAATAGTCTATTGGCTACGATTCGGTTATTCGTTAGACGAAGATTTTTTCCCAGTATAACATTTATGGTTCTGAGAAAAAACCTGTACCTTCGAAAGAAACTGAAGAGAAACTGCATAAAAACACCCCGCAGATGTGACCCAAAAAGTATGGAAACAATCAGCCGGAACGGGTGGCACGATGCACCCAACCTACAGGAAGAGAAAAGAAAAAAAATGGTGTTAAAAATAGGCTGCGTACAAAAAGGTATTTATTTGTACTGAGAAAGGTCGGGAAATCCAGCCTACATTCCTTCAAACAAATCTCACAAATGAAAAAATGCCCGTAGTGTACGGTTACGAAAATTTCACCACGGAGCACTGACCATAATAATGTTTTTGGTGATTTTTGCACACATAGTATTATTAAAACTTTAATTAAAACGTTGGCCCAACTTTTTCAAGTTTCAATCCGTGTCCATCTTTTCCATGCGTTACAACAGACGACAAGAAACAGTGTCAATGCTAAATAAAGTCTTAAATGACAAAAATCGACCTTTATTTTGTTGTTTCATTGATGCGAAGATAAGTTTTACATTTTTAAAAAGATAGCAGATAGCGTGTTTCATTAAAAATCCTCACAGCTTAGATATTCCGTTTGTAATTTATTATACTTCAAGAAATTTGAAACTACGCCGTACATAAATGTTTCCAATATTCCCCTATGTTCGGCCACTTGCCCTTCCTCATAGATGGCCCCTTTATAGTAGCCTGCGAAAGGCAGACGTTTCTCCACAGGGGGCCCACACAATAGGTTTGTGTAGCCGATTGTTATTTTATAGTAAATGTACTGGATTTACCGTTTGCTTCACCTATAGCGATATATCGCTAACTATGTATATAAATCAATGATAAATAAACGTTGAATTACCTTACCTGTGGTGTATAGTCGTCCTTTTGCCTCAAAAGCGGTTTTTTGAGCGATTTTGAATGAATTTGAGTTCGCCGTTGACTGTTCCATATAACAGTCAACGGCGAACTCAAATTCATTCAAAATCGCTCAAAAAACCGCTTTTGAGGCAAAAGGACGACTATACACCACAGGTAAGGTAATTCAACGTTTATTTATCATTGATTTATATACATAGTTAGCGATATATCGCTATAGGTGAAGCAAACGGTAAATCCAGTACATTTACTATAAAATAACAATCGGCTACACAAACCTATTGTGTGGGCTCCCTGTGGTTTCTCCTCGCTCATCGTCACTGAGGGACGTTTCGCGAGGAGGAACGTCTGGTACTCAACGACGGAAATTCCATACTGATCACGTAAATCAATGTTAACATAATAAACCCGGTAGTCATGGGGTTCCAAATGTAAATTTGTTTACGTTTCTCCTGGTCGGTTTTGGAAAAGTGTTGTGTTCATCTGTGAATGAGCTCCAGCAAAACTCAAATTCTTCCTCTAGAGAAGACTATATTCACAAATATTGACTGTTTTGTTTGAGATTCATCGCGTTTACATTTGACCTTTGTGTCCTTTTGTCTTTTATCTGTCACTCGTAAACAATAGCTAAAACAATGAAACTACTCCGTTGACCAATTAGTGCTTCTGACCGGATTCTGGACAGATTTTCCGTCATCAGTATGGAATTTCTGTCGCTGAGTCGAAGGCGTTCCTAAGTCCTCGCGAAACGTCCCTCAGCGGCGACGATCGAGAAGAAACGTCTGCCGTTCGCAGGCTACCTTTATAGGGGTTAGAGTTTTTTTTTTCGTTATTACACGCGCCTTTCTACTTGGTACATACTACGCATGCCAATTCGTGGCCGTGAATATACGGAACACACGGTACACCGTGATTGCAATTAGCTTGCACTGGGTACAACAGTGCTCCATTTGTGTCACGATGGCCACCCGGGACGGCCTCAGCATCAACATCAATGCACACAAATTCGCTGGCATGGTTGTGACCATAGTGAGATGTCATCAAATACCCGTGGTAATCCCTGGTCCATCCCGAGGGACACTTGTTCGTCGCAGGGATCATCATTTGGGAACCACGTGACTTGACGTAACACACGGCGCAAGGAGCATCCTGGTCATTAAGATTTTTGCTAAAGCCTGGGAAATTGTCTGTCTGATACTCTGTGCCGTATATCGCTCCTGTCCCCTGCCAGCCTTGGATGTATTTGTCATAGACAGGGTTGTTGGGAAGACAAACAAAATTAGAGCCTCCACCATGGTGCGCATAATAACCACTTCCCATTACACCTATCAAAACACGGGCAATAAAAGAGTGAAAAGCACATCTGTCTGAACATTATTTTTTTATTACAATTGACTGTTCCATTCCGTTGTACTTAGTCACCCCTAAGGTAAATCATGAACAAGCTGCTCACCTAGATAAGGTCATACAGCCTGAACAGTTAATGTTGGCAAGTCTTTGGCAAGAAAACATGAAAGATAAACTTTCCTCAAAATGGGTCCTTGTCTCCTAGTTGGTTACCGTAAAATTCCGAAAATAAGCCCCGGGGCTTATATTTTTCAAAGGCCCTTTTTGAGGGGCTTATTTTTGGAGGGGCTTATATACGGAGGGAAATTTGCGTCTCAAAATCGATTGGGCTAGCCTTATAGTTGAAAATAAATTTACCGCTTTTGCTTTGTTTTACTTTGTATTTGAGAGCAATTTTCCAATTACAAGCCCCGGGCAGGGTTCGAAATTAACGGTTGTCCGGTTGTCCCGGACAACCAAAATTACGATGGGGCAACCAAATTGTGCTAAGTGGTTGCCCCTTGGGCAACCCAATCTGTCGTGGCACTAATCCATAATGAAGACTTGATAGATTTGAATAAATATAACAGCTTGTTGTCTTTGGAGAGTAAGCGATACCTAAACTAAGTTAGTGGAAAGAAAAAAAAAAAAACGCGGAAGAAATACTAAAGTATCACGTACACTACCGTTGGAAACCGAAGTTCGTTTTTGCACAACATTCTTATTTGAATGAGCCTGTTGTGCTTTAATCAGCGGTTGGTACCAGTAAACATAGTCCATGATGCACTAGTGAGATTCGCTCCGTGATGCCGCCATGTTTGTTTCGACGATGGCAATTTACCATTCGTCTTATTATTACCGGTATCATGTTAGTTAACATGAGCCTCTTCCGCTACTTCGGCCGTGAGAAAGTGAAGGCCGTTGGCGATAACAACAATTTGGAAGCCACGAAGAAAGATGATGATCAAAGCAATGCTACGGCGACGGGTGTCGCAAAATCTACAGCAGAATTAGGCAAGGCGCAAGAAAGTTCAAGAAAAAGGTGTCGTACATTTCAAGAGACGTGGAAGACTAGAAGACCCTGGCTGAAATTTGACGAGAAAGAAAACGCTATGTTTTGCAGTTATTACAGACAGTTTTCGAAAGATAAATCTGCCTTTGGGAGCGAAAAAGGTAACAACAGTTTTCGTCTTGATGGGATCAAAAAACATGAAATAAGTGAGGCGCATAAGACAGCTAGCTGTATTAGTTTCTTGGCTTGAACTGGGGCAAGAGCTTGGACAACCAAAATATTCTACGGGCAACCAAACCAAGTCTTGTGGTTGCCCCAGGGGCAACTGGACATAAAAGTAAATTTCGAACCCTGCCCGGGGGGCTTATATTTGGAGGGGCGATTTTACGGAGGGTTTTGTTACGTTACCGGTTTGGGGGGCTTATACTTGGAGGGGCTTATCCATGGAGAGGCTTAGTTTCGGAATTTTACGGTAACTCAAACAGGAATCTCTCAAGTAGAAGGGTTTGTTTTCTTTTTTGTGGAATCCCGTGTTGGTATTAAAAAAAAATTGACAAACAAACAATTCCCAGTTAAGAAGCCAAAAGAAATTCTCTCCATAAAACGTAAGTTGTATTCTCGCAGTGACGACAAAGCAATGTACAAAAGAGCGACATGCAATTGCAAAGTTGTTCTTTAACTGCTTTAAAGCTATAATTGTTTTTTTTGAGATTCTCATTGCTGTCGCCGTCTTGGGATTCTACGTTTTCTAATTTACAGCTATTTCGAGAAAGGTTGTCGGAAAAACTGTGCACGCGAGAATCCCGAAAGGTATTGTGGGTAATATGGGATATGATCAATACACTGTTCCCGGGATTGTGGCTGTCGAACCTACTTTTGTCGCTTTCCTTTAGCACTCCCAAACATATGTCCATGACCTCTCGTGCCAATCTTTCAAACTTCTTTTTTTTAAGAACAGTGAACTCAAAAACCCACAATACCTCTCGGGATTGTCCCGTGCACTTTTTCCGACAACCTTTCTGGAAATAGCTGTGTGCGTGTAATCCTCATACCAGTGTACACAACTGAGGCATCTCCTGAACAGTTAGTTCGTCCCCATCGGTTATACGTCACACCTGACAGCGCCTGTCCTTCAGCTCCTCTCTCTCCTTTAGGTCCAGAAGGACCCACAGGCCCAGGAATCCCCGTTGGACCTTCGTTCCCTACAAAGCGCGGGAAAAAAAATACATCACACAGTGTTAAGAAGACGCGACAAATAGATTGTCCTTAAAAAAATGCACTTTATTTGAGTGTTAATGTATTTAGCACAAAAGTAGTAATTTGAACACGTTTTTGTGTCAACGACTGTGGACGGGACCGCCATTTTAAGTAGTCATCCAAGCAACGCGAAGGTCTAGGCATGTGCAGGGGAGGGCAAAGGCAGTACCTTCATTTCGCAGTTATTTAAGACCCTGAGTGTTGGTCCTGTCCCGGTAATCGAACCCGCGACCTCCCGCTCTCCAGTCAAGCGCTATACCGACTGAGCTAATTCTGCTGCGGTGTGAAAATAAAGTGTTTTAGCTCTTGTAGATGTCAATTACGAAATGGGGGCCGTTTCTATTATATCTAGACTTTCTTTGAATCAGGATATTTGCTGATACCTTGAAGTGTTTTATCCAATATCTCACGACGTAACTTATCAGGTGTTGATTATTATTCAGACCGAGAAAGGTAATCATTTCTAACAGTTTATTTTCTCTTTAATGTTCTGAAATACCGTGAAGAATGCCAGAAGTCCTAATTTACCCAGTTAACACAACCGGCCGGTACGGCAAGCGTTCCCCTGCGAACTAGGCGCGACATTTTTTCAATTGTTATTGCTCCTGTCCACACTTACACCGCACAAAAATTGAAATTGCCTCATCGGCGGTTTTCAAGCATGCAAGCTAAGGGTTAAACGTGAAACAGGACGCATGTAATCCACAAAACCCCTTCAATAATCACATGTCTGTAAACATTATTCGTTGTTTCTTTTCATCCTTCTAATAGAAGATCTTGGTTGAAGGCTTCAGTCTTCAGTCATATTGCTTGCTTTGAGCTTTCATCGCTAATAATGACTTATCTTATAGATAGCCACATATTACAACCCTACTGTTTGTAATATGACGGTATGAGTTAACAACCGTTCATCTTTGCGACAGTAATTCTAAACGCACTACCCGTTTTAAAAACTATCTGATATCCGGCTACCTCTTGGTCCCGTAAGTCCTCGTGGTCCAGCGGGTCCTTGTCTCCCGTCTCTACCGTCCCGCCCTAAGGAGAAAGAACTTTTCCTGAGAACACAAACTTTCACGGGTTTCTCATGTCAGTTCTGGTGTTTGCTAAGCTTATAATAAGGTATCAACTTAGAGGATGAAACATGGGAAAAGTCAAGCCTCTTAAGAGCGACTTCCTATTCGAAACACCATGGCAATTAAATCAATTTCTACAGTCGAAGCACAATAGAGGGAACCTTCTGTATCCTGAAGCTCGGCTTAATTGTGGCGTAAAATAATTTTTTTCCAATTCACCCACTTAGCCGGGCCACTTAATGAATGAGTTTGCTTGACAGTCGTCCTTTCACAGATGATAGCCGTCGGCCTCTGGATAGGTGGCGTATTACGGTTAACCGTTCCTGAATGGTAATGAAAATGAAAATGAAAAAAAAAAAAGTGAAACGTTGCGACTGTCCAGTGAGTATTTAAATTACCAGCAGGTCCAGGCGGTCCTGGCATGCCATCTCGTCCGTCTCGACCTATAAAAGAAAAAAACAAAACAAAACAAAACTACATATCTGTTAAACTAATTTATTAATAACATTTATTCGCCTACGAGTTTCTGATGGCAAATTCCAAAGTTTTTCTTGTTTGAGTTTACCTTACCAAACAAATGATAAACAGCTCATCACTTACTGTTGATTTATCGAATGCTCAAGAGATCAAGGCAGTGGGGATAAAGGTTGGGCAAAGGTAAGTTGCTTGACTTCAGCAGGTCGATCAGCGTGCACCAAGGAACTGAAGAACTCATTTGACTGGGCGAATTTTTCTAGCTATGTAACAATGTAATAAAAAAAGCATTGCTTTTGTACTACAGTCGACCCTCCATCGCAGGGGTGGTGGTGGGGGGGGTATTGTACACAGGATTTCAAGGGAAGGGGATGATCAAATGGGGGTAAAAACCAAAACCCAAAAAATTCCTCGGGCTTCCAACAAAACTCCAAAAACTCCTGGACCAAACCTTAACCCCCAAAGAATCCTATGCCGCATTTCCAAGCCTTAAAAAATTTCCAGTAAGGATTAAATGATATGACACGAAAAATAAGAACATTGGAAATTGGATGTTTGTGTTTGTTTATTCATCATACCATCTGAGGTCGTTTACATTATCGTTTACGCAACGCATCAGGCAGTCATTCTAACAACACTCTGGACACCAAAGAACATCTTCTGTTTCAACAATAAAATTTATATGTGCACAATAATAACTCTAAGCAAGACCATCTGTACCAACAACATTACGGGCACTACCACCAATCTTCAGATTGTTTTGAAAACCCCCAAAAATTGCTACTTAAATCAAGCCACCCAAATGTATGGGGTTAGGCGGAAATCTTACTCTTTGAAGTTTTTCCTGCATAAAGCACCTTGTTTTTCGTCTCGAAATGTTTTTTAACCAGTCAACGCAACGTTGATGACTGGTCGTCTCTAGATCTAGATTTAAAGCTCTCTATTAAATTATAATTGATAATTATAATTAAAATAACCGTTTTCTGCAATACCTTATAGGGCTATGTTCACACCATACCGACACGAATGTGAACACCTATCCGATATGTGACTCTCCAGTTTAGAGATCGGCGCGGCGCAGCTTCGCTCCCTTAACTGAATATATTGCGCTGAAATCACTGTTCTTATGTGCGAACAGAAGCCCTACCCGGTATGGTTTTCGCGCCGGCGTTAAAGCTATCCAATAGTATAGTATGAACACCTAGTCGATATGTGACTCTCCAGTTTAGAGATCGGCGCGGCGCAGATTCGCCCTCTTAACTGAATATACTGCGCCGAAATCACTGTTCTTAAGTGTGAACAGAAGCCCTACCCGGTATGGTTTTCGCGCCGGCGCAAAAGCTATCCAATAGTATAGTATGAACACCTATCCGATATGTGACTCTCCAGTTTAGAGATCGGCGCGGCGCAGCTTCGCAATCTTAACTGAATATATTGCGCCGAAATCACTGTTCTTAAGTGTGAACAGAAGCCCTATTCGGTGTGGTTTTCATGCCGGTGTAAAAAATACCCGGTATAGTTTACCTCAATTTTCATTAATTAATCCTCGGACGTACGTCTTAAGTCATACCCCCACCGTGGTAAAAGGGGGGATTGAGGAAACCCCTCCCTTGAGTTTTGCTATGTTGCAGTATTTCGAAAAGATTTTACCTTCAGTTGAAAGCCTTAGGTCTTCTTGACAAGATGAGGTATATTTTATGGGTGTTGACGCTGCTGGAGGCCCGTGACGTTACCAAACATGGTCGCCATCTTGGATTTTGCCAAGAATTAGAATTCAGGTAAAGACGGCGAGAATTGAGATTTTTTTGTACTTGACATGTAAAATAACACATAAATAAGAACTTTGCTTTATTTTATCCACAAGTTTTACTTGACCACCTGCTATATATATTTGTGACGTCATATCTCGTAACTATAGTACCTGATCATCATTAAACTTGTCTCAAAATGCGCGAGAGGGATAAACGAACAGCTACTGAAAGGTTCAGCTGCCGATGTTTGATTGTATAGGAAAAAAACTCAGAAAAACCTGGGGGGGGAGGGGTAGGGGGTGGCATCTACATCCCCCTTGTACATCCGAGGGTTAAAAGCATTATCAGTCAGGTGAGTAGACACACTACAGCGGTAGCATGCAAAAATGGTAGGATGGTTACTAACCTCGAAGTGACGACCGCAGGCTCAAGTCCTTGGAGAGTTCAACAATTCTGAAACAGGAATAAAAGATAAAACTTTCAGGCTTTACTACGGTTAATAGGGAGGTTAATCACAAAGACGGCGACGGCTACGAAAACGTCACTAAATTTGAAGTCGAACGGTGGTCCACGGTTTGAAACGTAATCGCTCTTGCATATTCCATTTCGTTCCATTCGTCAAATGTTGGCAAATTTTTTGGGGGAGTTGAACTCTAGCAGGCTATATAGAAGTTCAGGAAAAGAAAAATAAAGTCGTTGTCTTGTCTTCAAGTCCTCCACCAAACGTGAAATTAGGTATTTTCACGTTGTGGTCGTGCAGTGACGGCAAAGAAATGTACAAAAAAGCGTGATGCACTTGCAGAGTTGTTGTTTTGTCAATCTAAACCTTTTATTTTTTGCCGTTCTCGTTGACGTCACCGTCGTCGTTGCTTAAGCTCCCCAATTTCTCTCCAATACGGCTAACAGACATCTGCATCAAAACAGATTCCAGTGATATACGTTAAAAATTAGGCTATAAACCCCGACGCCGAGACCGTCTCATGAGGTGGTAGCCTTGACCGTTGATGGTAATTTTTTTCCAATTTTGACGGTTGACGGTTATTAAGTGGAAATTTAGTCCAAAAGTTGAAGTAGATATGACTCTTATATTTAAGCAATAGAAAACGTTTTCCGTGTTTGCATAGCCTCATATAGACACTCGAGGGGCTCGGAGAATTCTCGACAGTTCTGCAAACCTTCTGAATCTGTCTTTTGGTCACCTCGCCTCGCTTGGTAATTGTTTAGAGATCAAAGCTATTTCGCGTTCGCGTGTAAATAAACTCTATCGTCGCTTGTTATTCTCTAGCTTGCACCTGTTGGAATTAGTTTGCTCGTGTGCTACAATCAAAGAGTATGTTTTGCACGCTTTGGTGTAGGCCCTTATCGATTGTGCTTGTAAAAGAAGCATATTATGCTATTAGCAGTGCCAGATTTTTTTTCCAAATTATTCTCAATTTATGCTAGTTTTTTTTTTAATTATGTTCCTTTTATTTAAATAATTCAGAAATTATGCTTCTACTTTTTACTTTAAATTTGGTAAGAACACCTCAAAAACCGTTAATGCAACAAAGCAAGTAATTAGCCCTTTGCAGGTTTCCATCCACGTGGCATAACACCGGCATATTGGGACGCAAAAGTCGCATTAGGGCAAGACCAACAAAAGGCATGCGTAATTTGGTAATTTCCTTTGTTTGCTATGTTTGCTTCCCAATATGCCGGTTTTGTAACACGTGTGTAACACGTGAATGGAAAGCTGCTAATGGCCTATTAAATGGCAAACTCATTTTCCTATTTACACCTATATCCAGTGGAACCTGTAATCCGGAACTTTGGAATCCGGAACACAACTTAAGGAATCCAAAATACTACTAACGCTTGGAATCCGGAATTCAAGTTCCACTGACAAAGAATGTGGAATCTTGTAGCTGGAATTCCAGAATCCACGGCGTGGAAGCCAGAAACAAAGACTTTCTTAGATTTCCTTAATGGGATCAGAGACAAAGAGGGCGCGGAATAAGATGCTCTTTAAGGGACTGTGTAATAATCACCTAGAAAGGGAGGGGGGCCGGGAAAGGGGTGAAATATGCCCCAAAACTACGTCACCCCCCTCTCATTAAGCAAAAATCAATTTAAACCCCCCTCACATAATGATAATATTAAGGCTAATCCCCCCCGTGAAAAAAAAATCCTCCCATTGCTTCCCTCATACCTAGTTTACTTGTTGGATTCCTTCCTCCGGTACAAACATCACTTTAAATGACTCTTCGACGTATGTCGTAGAGTCATTTGAAGAGTCACCAGAATCACTGGACTCTAAGCATGTGTCGTCTTCGCATGAATTGGGAGATTCCTCATCTTTTACAGTATCTCTGGCACTAAGGTTCCCGCCTGAGTGGGTGAGAACTCAGGAATTCCTGTCTGATTGAGCTTTTTTTTTTGGAAGCTCAATTTAATCATACTATTTTATATTTACCATACTTTAAATTTGTATTGCTATTGAAATTTCGACAGTTGGGTTTTTCATTCTGCTAAATTATGATGCCATGTGTGCTAACATTGGCATCTTTCTTTTTCATTGAATAACGGTTAGTGCTACATTTGCAACTTTTAATTAAAGTTTCCTGTTTTATTAAATCCTAGTGCAAATAAAGTAGCACTGTTTTAACATACATAACAGAGGTATTCCTTTCCTACTGCATGACAGATAGAAAAACAACAGTTCATAGGTCAGAACACCTTAGCGTTCATAAATTTGTCAGTTTTATTCCAATGTTTGTATTGATATTTGAACTCTAATAACTCTTCCACTACTTTTCCAGATTGCAAAAAGGAATGAAAAAGTAGTGCCCCCCCCCGTATGTATTAAATTTGACAGCCAACCCCCCCTTCTCTCTTGGTGTCATTTTGTACTATGCCCCCCTCTAATTTTCCAACCCTCCCCCTCCAGGTAATTATTGCACAGTCCCTAATAATTCACTCATCGAAACGCTTCCATTTTAGGGCTCATCACGGAGCTAAAACAAATCTTTTGAATTTACAGCACGCTATAATACCTGCTCTCCACTGCAATGACCCTCTTATCAAGGGCTGACAAATTAACCTGCGGGTTAGTCGTCCTCTTTTGTCGTGCACGATTTGTCTTAAGCTCCCACTTCCTGTGATTCAGTGTTTGGGAAATCGCCTTTATCTCGTTCTCAGAAATAGTCAGTCGTCTTTCCCATTGACTGCTTATTTTAGTATTCTCTCTGAGCTGGGTCTCCACTTGCTCAAGTTGCCTATGCATCGAGACGAGGAAGATGAACTGGACAGCGATGCACGTTAAGAGGCAGATAACCAAAGCAAAGCAAAGCAAAGAACGAATGCGCTCCCAAGAGAAGCACCTTTTGCAGGAAGTAGGAGTCTTGATCGATTCCTGCTCCATTGTATCAAAGATATTAAGCACTTCAGAGAGGTCTGAAAAGCCGGCTTTACGTTATGAACGAAAATTGTAAATCGGAAATTTTTTTTCAGAGCCTGGAAACCCGAACTTGCTTTTATGGAGTTTGTTCAAGAGGCGGACGTGTGTTAAAGCACGCTCCTCTCACATGGAATTAGAAAGCTATAGGCACAAATTTGATTGGCATGACATTAATTGTAACACACTTCTGCTATGATTACACTTTAAAGTACCCACCTGTCAAAAATTCACAAATAACACACCTCTTAGAGCCACGTGCATCGTTTCTTGTTTTAATATCCGGTGCTTATAATTTATCTTAACAGGGGAATTTAATTTGAGCTACACATCCAGACGTAGTTAATCGATAAACCGATAATCTACAATAATCGATAATAATCGACATCAATCATCGATGAATACCGATTTCCGATATCAATAGAAATCGACGATGATTGATTTATCGATCGTCATCGATAACTATCGATTATCATTCGGTAGAAGTTCAACATTAACACTTCTACTTCTACTTCTACTGATATAAAACCATCGAAAAGAGATTTCAAGAGATTATAATTAAAAACACGATGATTGAGTCATTCAGTCGTGTTATGTTTTACTGCGGATTTATCTTTGATGTCAAAGTTAAGTTATTTTTTTCAGATACTAAAACTTAAAGACGTTACTTAACATTGTGTTAATTACGCTTATTTGTATGCACAGTGAAGTAACAGCTTTCGCCGAACCAAGTATGAACCCTTATGCCGAAAGATGGCAGCGATCTGGAGGACTTCCATCCCTGTATATCATACCAAACTGAATTGGACTCCAGTGTCAGCGACTGATCGCAAGGAAAGAAATGCAAGATGCAGTCGATAGCACAGAATTGAACGGATATTTAAGATCTTTCAAAACAAACCAAGAAACGAAGAAACAAAAAATGGAACTTGATGAAGACTGCGCTAGAGTAGTTGCTGAAGTCAAAACTAAAAATTATGTGTTAAGCTTAAGCCGGTCTCATGGGTGTTGCTTGTCAAATAGCATTGTCATGTTCAGAATATTCACTTCAAGATTAGTGCTTGTTATAGATTACCATCGATTATTATCGATTGTGCGATTTTGGACTATGTAATTGTTTAGTCATACTAAATCTAACCAATTATTCAAGCTGATTTTTTTTTGTCAGTTATTCTCAACATATTTTTCATGTTCCCTAAATGATGTTCAGAGCCCTCTCCTTTCCTGGGTCGTTTTTTTGTGTTGTGTAAACAATGATCAGGGTATGCGGTGCCGATCGATGACTTGGCATTACCGACCACAGGCATCTCAGGATTGTTAAGAACACTGTTCTTGGCGCAAAAAAATAAACTCAAGCTTCATCCGTTCGGGAAGGGTTTTGGAATGTTGACCCTTTTTGTTTCCTGACTGAAAATGCTCCACTTTCATGCTCACTAAAAATCACTCCCCCACCACCCCCGCCCCCCACCCCACCCCCGCCGCAAAGTCACTAAAATACCTGGTTAATGCTGATTATCGAGAGGCTTTTTAAAAATCTTTTCCAAACGCTTTTAGAGGGTTTAAGGCTAACAAAAATGTGTAATTATATAATGACAACAACGTACATATGCATACAAGTGAACAGTTTTAATACAAGAAAAAAAATAACAATAATAAATAAATAAAAGATCCTTTACAAGACTGTATTAAGGTGAAATTTGCATTTCAAATTTAATTCGTCACTTTCTCCTAAGTAAATGTATATTTTCTCTGAGAACAAATTAATATTTTTCCAAGAAAATGCCACGTAATAAATGCTCGAATAATGCTTTTAAGAAAAAGCGAATGTGATGCTAAAAGAAATGCTCGCACAGAAGCCTTGGTGACATCATGACACACAATTACTTCTCCCGGTGGGTAAGTGAATGACTCTAGTGCCCAGTTTGTGCTGAGCGACGAAACGTTCCGAGACATACAAACATGGCGCCGATGTTTGAACTTTTTGAACTTTTAGATCGAGTTATGAGGTCAAGACGCAAGGTTTCCCGGAACAGAGTGCACAAAGGTGATCTTAGGGAATCACATTGTGAATTCAGTGGTCCGAAATGTAAGTGTGTGCATTTAAAATTGCGTGTCAAATTTGAAGCTGCTTTGGAACCAGGTCTGAGGGCCGATCGGGTGGTTTTGTTGATCCTTTCACTCTGATCCATAATTACATTGTCAGGTCAGATGATGTTATAATGCCCAAATGGCGCTGAAACTTCTCAGAAAGAAAGACAGTGACACCAGGTAACAATATTACTTAGCTTTTACCCGTTTTAGTTCATATAATTTGTGGAAAACAAACCGTCATATGCAGTATATGATGAGTTTCGTCAACGTGTGTGCTTTGGTGTTTTCGCGTTGAGCTCGTGACCTTTTGTAACCTCGTTTTTGAAGCTCCTCGCTAACCTCCTCACAGCTTTTCTGAATGTGGTGTGTCGGAATACCCGGCGGAATAGATACAGCGATGGCGTAGTCCCCCCGGGGGGTACTTTAGGAATTTCTTGGTGGGGATATTTCTTGGTGGGGATGTGCCGCTGGGACCCTGGAACCCTTAACCTATACCAGAGCTAGTTCAGCTGAATTTTGCTACCTTATACTAGAGTAAACTCCCCAAATCCCCCCTATCCTAGAGTAGCTGCTTTCCAGAAACTTCTGAGGTCACTAGCACAGTAGTCTGGCCAAAACAAAACCTTACACCCCAATCCCTAGTCTAGATAAAATCTTCAACCAACTGATCAGTTTCCTGAAAAAATGATACCCTATTCTAGACCGAAACGCTAGCTCTGATTTACATACCCTATCCTAGAGTAAACTGCTTGAAAACCATACCCTTCACAGCGGAACATACCTATATGGCCCATATATGGAAGTATTCCCCCGGCGTAGTCCTGCGTAGTCGAAGGCCGTAGCGTTTAATATCTCGCAATCAGTGCCCGGAATAGACCTTGTCATGGTTTTGGAAGCCATCTTGACGAGTAGGCAAACGCGCGCGAAATAACAGTATTTGTATGTCGAATAATCTCCCTTAAAACGGCTGTTCAGAAAAGGAATATGAATTGTAAACTAAAGCTTCACTCCTACCGATTCTACTGAAAAAATTTGAGAGAGTTACATGCAGCTAAATGTGCTAGAACCACTTTTTAAAATTTTCTATACATTTGTATGTAAAAATTGTTTTTCCTGCCGACTAAAATTTCCCGGGAAAAATTGCAGACAAATATATGGAAAATCTAAAGTAAGCATCTGGAGAAATTTAAGCACAGTTACGGCCGCCACCAAAATTTGTTAGTAGAATCCTTTGCTGCGTAGCTTTAGTTTACAATTCATATATATATATATATATTATTTTTTTCAGAAAAGCCGTTTTACGGAAATTGTCGACATTAGATCCTTGTACAAACACTGTAATTTCTCACGCGGTTGCCTACTCTTTAAGATGGCTTCCAAAACCGTGACGAGGTCTGTCAAAGATAACGGTTTAAACAACCTGGAAAGGCTAAAAACACGACACAAGACTCTGTTAACATTTCGTTTGATAACTCTTACTGAAACATTTACTTTCAAACCAGTATTTAGGGAAAAAACTTTTAGCCGCCACAATGTTCTTCTGTTTTTCTTCCATAAACTTTAACAAATCGATGCCTAGATTTCAGTAAAAATAACACAAATACCGTAAAATTCCGAAAATAAGCCCCTCCATGTATAAGACCCTCCAAATATAAGCCCCCCAAACCGGTAACGCAAAAAACCCTCCGTTAAATCACCCCTCCAAATATAAGCCCCACGGGGGCTTGTACTTGGAAAATTGTCCTCAAATACAAAGTAAAAAAAAAGCAAAAACGGTAAATTTACCTCTAACTATAAGGCTAGCCAAATCGATTTTGAAACGCAAATTTCCCTCCGTAGATGAGCCCCTCCGAATGTAAGCCCCTCAAAAAGGGCGTTTGAAAAATATCAGCCCCAGGGCTTATTTTCCGAATTTTACGGTAGATGATGGTCTGCCTGTGGCTGCAGGTGTAAATATTTTAGTGTAGTATTGCTTATATAATTAGCCTATTGTGTCTTTGACGCCAGGGCTCGAAATTAGCCCTTGCAAACTCGCAAAATGCTAGTGATTTTGATGATCTTCGAGTGAGAAAAATATCCAGTGGCAAACGTTTGCGAGTTAGTATCATCCATGTCTCCCAACAGAGGGAAAGAAATTGCTTGTAGTCTCACCAGTTTGCTAGTGGAAACAAATCTTACCAGCAAAACTTTGTCAGTGTACTAAAAAGTTAACTTCGAACCCTAGATGCCCTCGTTACCATCGCCGTCGTCGCTACTGAAGCTCCCTATTTCAAGGTAGGCCACTGAGAAACTGATGTGAAGTAAATTAAATTGTTGGATTTGACTTAATCAAGTAGGAAATGAAATCATCGTCATTATTCGTAGTCGAAATCATGAAGATGTCATCAAAGAAAGCGCTCCCCATATACTGTATACATATGCTTTTATTCTGGCTCAATCCTCGAACTTTTCCATGAAAAGTTTTTGCATATGCTGGGCCATTATATTTTTGATCCCCATAACCGTTCGTATGTTTTGTGCATAGTGTTCGTCATTAAACCGCGTGGTCGCTTACCAGAGCTGGGTAATCCCAAAAGTGGTCGTGGTCGCTTACGAGAGCGTTTCATTACAAAGTTTAAGTCACAGATCAAACGGGGTTTCACAAAAGGTGGTCGTAACTAGAGCTGGTCGCAAGGAGAACCTCGACTGTATGAATACAGGGTGTCCTAAAAGTTCGTTCCTCTACTTTATAAGTCTGTATTTCAGTACGATTGGACTTGGTAAGAAAATCGTTTGAACAAAAGTTGTGGCTTTCAGTCCAATTCACTATTTTCGTACTCATAGTGTTGTGCCATCTTTTGACTCGAATATTCGATTTGTGTTCTGTCGCGCCAAAGGTGCGCGTGCGCGAGTATACTTTCCAGCCTTTTTTTATTTGTATTTTATAGCCCGAATTGCTCAACTCCTTTCTTGTTTTTTGTGAATATCAAAAAAGATAAACACCCTTAACGCAAAAACGTCCAGCTGCCTGAGAGCATAAGC